AAACCCATGCCACGAAACACCCTGCTTGCCTTCAGGGTGCCCAGGGCTTCTCAGGTTTCCATGGCTTTGCTGTGGAGAGCGTAACGTCCCCACACCAAAAGTCCATGGACGTCCTGGGGTCTCAGGGTTGGGTCTCTTGTGGAAGGTTTCTCGTGGTCGAGCCCCTACTGTATGACGCTACCCCTCCCCAGACCCCCGACGTCATGACTTTTTCATGACGCGACCCCCAGAGGTCTGGACCCGTTCCCCGGGACTGGTTTTCAATCCCGAGCCGTTTCTTGACGGCCCCGAGGCCCGGTGAGGGCCCCCAGAGGCCAGGAATGGCGAAAAAAAAACCGTCGTGATTTCTTCATGACACGAGGGGGTCTGGGATGTCAGGCGATCTGATCTTCTGAGTCCCGCTGTTCCTCCTCGATCTCGGCCTATGGGTTTTCACTTGGGCCTGCACGGTTTCCCCCAGGGCCGTAGGCGACCTGAGAAGGAGGAGGAGGAGGAGGAGGAGGAGGTGGACCAGGGGTTGGGGGAGGAGGAGGGGGAGGAGGAGGAGGAGGAGGAGGAGGATGAGGAGGACGAGGAGGACGAGGAGGAGGAGGAGGAGGAGGAGGAGGAGGAGGAGGACTACCCCTCGCAGGAGCCGCAGCCGGGACGCGGGCGCCCGCGGCCCGGCGCCCGGGGCGCGGCTCCCCGCGGGCACGGGGCTGGAGCCCGGCGGCGCCGTGCGCCTGGACGGCCTGAAGGCCGCCGCGCACCTGAACGGGCAGCTGGCCCGGCTGGAGCGGCTCGACCCGGCCTCGGGCAGGCTCGGGGATGGCCAGAATCTAGAATCAGAGCTTCCTCGACCCTGAGATCCTGGCGACTCAATATTTGCCAGCCGGGCGTGTTCGCTCCACTTCGGGCCCCGGGACCCTCGCAGCTCGATCCGGCTCGAAAAATGACGCAGAAAGATGGGGTCAGGGGGTCTGGTCGTGTTTTTGTTGCGATGTTGTAGTTTTTTGCAACGTCGGATCTCAGGGGACGAGGAACAAAAAACGGCATCATGTGGAGCTCCCTCGAGTAGTAGCAGCGGCACAATAATGTCACTCACATCGACTGGCCAGGCTGGAGCGGCTCGACCCGGCCTCGGGCAGGTTCGGGGACTGCCAGAGTCCGAGGCCCCCTCGGGCCATGCAGAAATCACGACGGGAGGCTTTTCGCTGTTTCCGGCCTCTCTGGGCGCCCTGGCCGCGCCTCGGGTCCGTCGAAGAACGACTCGGGATGAAAGACCGGGCCCAGGGAAGGGGTCCGGACCTCTGGGGGTCGCGTCATGGAAAGCTCATGACGTCGAGGGTCTTTGGGATCGAGGCCTCCCAGATGGGGCCCGAGTCGAGGAGGCCGACGTTCTCGACATGACTTTACCCTCCTCCTGCTCCTCCTCCTCCTGCTCCTGCTTCTGCTCCTGCTCCTCCTCCTCGTCCTCCTCCTCCTCCTCCACCTCCTCCTCCTCCTCCTTCTGCTTCTCTTCTCATCGAGCCGCATCGCCGATGTATCGCCGCTGCGGCTCGAGGCGGGGCCCCACTTTCTCCGCGCCGGCGTCGCCGATGCGGTGCTGACGTTTGCGATGCATCGAAGATGCATCGGCGATGCGGCGCGATCTTCCGGCCCCATCTCCTCCTCCTCCTCCTCCTCCTCCTCCTCCTCCTCCTCCTCCTGCTCCGACCTCATGTGGCAGGCCTCTACAGAAGCGTCCCTTCGGGACGACCGAGATGGGTACGGAAAGAATGGGCACAAAGACCGGCAGCAGTTCTTGCTCATGTTGAGCAGGACTCGTTGTCGGAGCCGCCGCGGCCTGTGTCCATTTGAGACAGAAGGCCGCCTGCCCAACGGCGGCCGCTGTCGGTGTGGGGGGGGGGGGGGGCAACACTTGTTGTTGGGCACTGTACCCTTTTTACCTAACAGCGAAGACTGATAGGTTTCTAATGGGGTAAAAAAGAGAGCAGCAGATGACTCCACAGGGGGGTCTGGGCGGGTGCCGGACAGGGTGCCGCAGAAGTCGTTTTAAGCCAACAGTCACACACTTCGTGCTCTTCGACCTCCCAGAACTCCATTCCCGGGCCACATTCTGAATGCCCGGAGCCAACTGTAGGCCACTTCGTGCTCTTCGACTTCCCAGAACTCCATTCCCGGGCCACATTTTGAATGCCCGGAGCCAACTGTAGGCCACTTCGTGGTCTTCGAGTCCCCAGAACTCATTCCCGGGCCACATTTTGAATGCCCGGAGCCAACTGTAGGCCACTTCGTGCTCTTCGAGTTCTCAGAACTCCATTCCCGGGCAACATTTTGAATGCCCGGAGCCAACTGTAGGCCACTTCGTGCTCTTCGAGTTCCCAGAACTCCATTCCCGGGCCACATTTTGAATGCCCGAAGCCAACTGAGGCTGAGGCAGGCTGCTGCTGAGGCAGGCTGAGGCTGAGGCTGAGGCAGGCTGAGGCTGAGGCAGGCTGAGGCTGAGGCTGAGGTTGAG